TGAAGGCTTTGTTTGTTCTTTTTTCTTTTTTTTTTTTTTCTTTATTTTTGTCTGACTGGATGATTTCAAAAGACCTGTCTTCAAGTTCTGAAATTCTTGCTTTTACTTGGTCTAGCCTATTTTTGAAGGTTTCAAATGTATTTTTTATTTCCTTTAATGAATTCTTCAGTTCCAGAATTTCTCTTTTTGTTTTTTTTGTTTTGTTTTGTTTTTTTGTTTTTTTTATATATCTGTCTCCTTAGTAAATTTTTCATTCACATCTGGAATTGTTTTTCTGAGTTCTTTGTATCAGTTTTCAGATTTCTCTTTTATCTCATTAAACTTCTTAAAAATCAGTGTTTTGAATTCTTTATCTGGGATTTTGAGAATTTCTTTTTGGTTAAGATCTATTGCTAGAGAATTTTGTTTCTCAGGATGTCATATTTCCTTGCTTTTTAATGTTTCCTGTTTCTTAAAGTTGATATTATCACATCTGGTGTAATGGTCACTTCTTCCTATATTTGAATTTACTTGCATTGGTGATAGACTTTTTTTTTTTCTTTTTTTATTGAGACAGCAGAGTCTCACTCTGTTGCCCTGGCTAGAGTGAGTACTGTGGCATCAGCCTAGCTCACAGCAACCTCAAACTCCTGGGCTCAAGCGATCCTCCTGCCTCAGCCTCCCGAGTAGCTGGGACTACAGGCATGTGCCACCATTCCCGGCTAGTTGTTCTATATATTTTTAGTTGTCCAGATAATTTCTTTCTATTTTTTTTTTTTTCAGTAGAGACGGGGTTTTGCTCTTTCTCAGGCTGGTCTCGAACTCCTGAGCTCAAACAATCCGCCTGCCTCGGCCTCCCAGACAGCTAGGATTACAGGCGTGAGCCACTGCGCCCGGCCGGTGATAGACTTTTGCCTGAAGATGTATCTGTGGTATTGGTTGGGTAGGGCCCTTTGGTTTTGCTTCTGGGTACATGCAGTACTAAAGTCTCTGTTTGATTTCTTTAGTTATAAACATCACTAGTGGTATCTGTGGTTTCTTTAGCGTATTAGGGTGTGGTTTAGTGGAGGTGGTGGTGAAGTTGTACTGGGGACTGGAATGTGGGTGCATCTTCAGGCTTCAGTGATTATAATGGTGGGCCAAGCATGTCTTTCCTTGTGTCCCAGGGCAGCATATGCTGGTACCTGTGTTGGTGGTTCTAGGCAGGCCAATTCTTGGGTCTCTAAATAGCTTTGTCAAATGCTAGTTGTGGTAGTGGTAGACTGGGCAGGTGAGTGAGCTCTTGAGCCCCTGGTGGCTGGTATGGCATGGGTGATGATGGTAATTGTGGTAAGGTGCTTTTCTGGGTCCCAAGCCCTATACACTTGTGTTGGCAGTGGTTGCGATGGGCTGTGCAGGCTTGCCTCCAGGCCAGTAGATGGTGCCTGCTGGTAGGATCCAGCTGAGGCGGTAGTGTTAAGATGTTTAGGACCAACTTTAGTTCCCCAGGAAGAGTGCTCAGGTGCCCTAGGTGGTAGATTGGGTTGTACAGTCCCCAGAACCCTGGGTCATGCACTCTGTCTTGGGGTGGGAGGGCACCAAAGCCGGGTGACCCTTGACCAAGCAGGCTTGCACTCAGGTCCCCAAGTGCATGCACCAGCCATGACAGGCAATCCTCAGGCTCCTGGCAGAATGCTTGGGTGAGGACAGCAGCTGCTGTGCTGAGGCCTTGCCATAGGAGGGTGAGGCTGGCCCCAGTGGCCACAGTCTTGGCTGGCAGGTGGGGGGTGCACATTCCTCTCACACCCCAGTCCCAGCTGTTGCAGCCAACCTAGCTATCTCATCAGACCTGGCTGTCTGCACCTAGCATACCTCTCAGCCCCAGGCTGTAGGAGTCCCTGTCCAGCATGGGACCAAGCCTCTGCAACATCTTGCATCCTGCTCAAGTCCTGATCACAGTCCTGGTGATGCCTGCTTCCCAGTGCCAGCAGCCACAGCCCACGCCACACTCTTTTCTGAGTCCTAGCTGTGGGAGCCACCCCCCGTCCATGTCCCAGTTCTGCAAGCAACAGCCCGAGTTTCCCTAACGCCTAGGACCAGCACTGCTGGGTCCCAGGGCACAGCACATTTTGTCATAGGCTAGAATTGAAAATGGCATCTTGCTGTAGCCACTTAGTTTTCAAAAAGATCATGTGACCAAGGCAAGCTCCCTCCCTAGAGCAGTTGCTTCTCACAGTCTCCCAACAGCTCCCGAAGTTAAATTCAGGGATTGGTAGGGTCAAGGTACTGTCTCATGGTCTGGATTTCATGGTTCCCCAGCGGGAAAGTGCACCATGGAGAGTCTTTCACTTATCCTCTCTCCATGTTGGGGAGCCGGCTTCAAGCAGACTCCCTCTTTTCCTTCTGCTTTCTAGTTTTTGATGTTTCCTCTCACTTTTCTGTTGAAATTCCATGTTCTCTCTTGGATAATGTATTCAAAATGTGATTGTCTATATACTATTTTGGTTCTTCTAAGTGGGTGAAGTGAGCATGAATGTGTCTAGTCAGCCATCTTGAAAAAAATTCAGAGAGGTTTTCTTGTGCATTGTTGAGGAGGGGTAAATCTGGGATCACTATAAAAAGTGTTTCTGAAAAATTTAAAACCTGGAACTACATATATAGCATGTGATTAGGACAGGTTTTCAGGGAGAGAAGAACAAATCAAGAATCATTGCAAGTAAGCTCATATGGAATGCTTAAGGCTTGTAGTTAAAAAAATATACATATGGCTGTTAGTGCCAAAAGCCCATGGTAGCAGCAAAGCAATCATAATCATCCTTTTCTCACAGAGGTTTTATCCCTGTTGGAGAGAATTAACTCAGGTGAAATTAACTTCTCCACTATTTAATTTTATAATATTAGAGGGATCATATCTGACTGGTGTCCCTTTGAATCACTGTTATTCTTCATTGATCTCTTTTTTTTAGAATGGGCTAGCCAAATGTGACATCCCTTGGATCTGAAAATTGGAACTTAGAAACTATTCTTTACACAAGTCTTTACACATTATTAAGGAAGAAAAGGAGTTACTTGGCAGATCTTAATATTAATTCTATTTTCTTTTTCTTTCTCTTTTTCTTTTTTTTGTTTGAGATGAGATCTTGCAATGTTGCCCAGGCTGGCCTTAAATTCCTGGACACAAGCAATTCTCCTTTCTCAGCCTCTAGAGTAACTGGAACTACAGGTGTGCGCCACCACACCTTGCACATTAATTCTGATTAATAAATTTATGCACTAAAAATATAACTATAAAATCTTATGTCTGACCTTTCGTATTACCATCAGAAATTTAGATAGCTGTTCCTTTCTCTTTTCTTTATAAAACATAGCTATAGGGCATGGTTAGTTGAAGTAAGTTGTATATACATGTAACTAACTTGATGGTGGTGGTCCCTAACAAAGGTTTATAATTCTGCTTGGTTTATTTGGGAGACGGCTAAATGTGGTGCACCCCAACCCATTTTGCTCCATACTACTTTAAAAAGAAGTTGCCTTCTTATTTGGATGGAAGGACCAAACCACGTCCCCAAAGTGCCTGCACAGTAAGGGAGTTTGATTAAAGCTACACATGGCACTAAGAGATGGGATCTTATGAGTGCAGATACATCACCAGGCCTCACAGAGAGTGGAACAGCATGTAGTCTAGGAATTGGAAGGATCCAGCACCTCCCTAAGGACTGAGTCATCATGGTGCCCTCTCAGCAACAGGAATGAGTTGGTGCCATCCGTCAGTGGTAGTTACAGAGTTCCTCTGCCTTAGATTCTTTATCTGTTAGCCAGCTAGCTCACCCTCTCTTTCATGGCCCTGGTTATAGGTAGCTTCTCTTGCTATAGCTCCAAACTTTCAGCTCCTTCTTGCCTCCTTTCTCTGCTTCTTGTTCACCTTCCCTTCCCATCACCAACTTTCTAGTCTCCTTTCTCTTTCTCTTCAGATTCCAGTGGAAGAGAGAAACTTATCAGGCCAGTCAGTGCAGTTTTCCTATCTGGGAGAGCCATGCCGGCTTCTGACTAGCCCAGAGATTGGCTGTCCTTAGGTCGGGACTCCTTGTTTCCTTGCCAGCCTTGGGAGCTAGCTGGAGTGAGAGTGGGGAGTGGTAGTGAATAAGTAGCAAGGAACACACATCAGGCCTGGGGCTACCTGAGTCTTCTCGTAAGAAAACCCAGCGCCATCATCCAGTCCCGGTTTCAGTGGTGTTGACCACTCTGCTCAGTAGGCTCACTCTCCTGCCGAATGATTCATGGCATGTTGCTGGTGGACACTTTTGTATTTGTACAACTCTAACTCTGTATTTAGGACTGGCTTTAGCTGCCCTGGGGCCTCGTCACTTCGTTTCTGTAAGGAAGTTGTCTCTTCTTCCTACCCAACTAGAGTCATCATTTTTCCTTTTGTCACTTTCTTCATGCCCTATATTACTTCATCTTCATTAACTAATCTATTTAGGAACGGTGCAAAGGGTAACTCAGAAAGCTAAGAAGGAACACATAGAGGAACTCCTTAAACTCAGGGGCACCTGAATAGTTTGTTAGCTATTTAGGGCTTTAAAAACTGGCAAGATGGAGGCGGGGACTGGGCTACAAGGAAGAGCAGTGAGCCAAGGGTGATGGCTTAGAGGGGAATCAGTCACTGCATGTTCTGTCTGCCTTCCGGCTGGATAGAGTAGGGAGAATGGAGAGCCCATGGTGGGCGTGAGTAGGTGACAGTGGTTTTCCACAAAGAAGTGTAACAGTGGCTGATTTGGGGGAAAGATGGCATACACAAATGAGAGAAGGTATGCGCCTGTTATTTCAAGTAGATGGGTTATTTGCCTCATTTTTTAAAACTCAACACCAATATAATCTAAGAATATTCTGTAGTTTTGAATAGACTATCAAAGCTGGAACTCTTAGAGTCTCTACTACCTTTAGTTTTAGCCCTGTACATTTTTTCTTAAAATTAAACGTTACATTGCCTTAATTTATTTCATTTATTAAATTTATATTCTTATGTTTTTTATTTCTATCAGCTTCCAATCAGAAGACCATGAATCCTCCTAGGGTAAGTTAAACTTTATTAAATGAATTGGGAATGATCACTCGATGGGTTAAACTGAGGAATGGTAATGGAGATATTTTGTTATCTATTTAGTGTAACATCAAGTTAAGAAAATGTTGAAGTCATTTCATTACCTTTGCATGAATGGGTCCAGTTCTGTTTTAAAATCCATGTTTGGTCATTTTGGTATCAATGGAATGGAATAAATGAGTCCTTAAATTTGTACTGACTTCTCACACCCAGAACTGGAAAGTTTATGAGTAGGAATAACGGCTGTATTATATCTGCGATCAGAAGGAAGCTAATTCCAATACATTCTCTCACCTGTTGGATTCATTTGATGTGCATATGCAGGATGACAATTTCAGGCTTAAGAATGAAAAAGAGAAATTTATATTAAATTGTCTTAATTAAAAATGATAATCTATAAATATAAATATTGCTATAAATATCTGTTCAGAGTTACTATTTATTCCCCTCTCATAAAAATATCTTATAAACTTTTTTTCCTTAAAACTGTACTCCAGGTTTCACTGTACCTTGGATACCTTAATAATCTTCCTGAGAAAATTTCAAGAAAGGAGCAAATTTAGGAGGCCATAAATGAAGAGAAAAAAGTCTTTCTAAGTATAAACTCATTATAGTGACAGGCCTGAGAGCTAGTCAGTAAAATCTGGAAAGGACTATATTGTACTTAGCTTCCTATGAAGGACTGATGCGAGACCTGCCTGGAATGCCAAAGAGAGTCTGTGTCTCTGTGGTTCCACATGCTTTCAAGTCTGACAAACCTCAGCAGATGCGCTAAAAGGCAGGGCTGGGGCGGACTCCTGTTACCACAGGTGTTTATTCTAGAAAAATTGGTGCCATAGCTACATTGGTCACAAGCAGCCAGCAATTTATAAAGTGCCTCTTAGAAATAATCCAACTACTGGACCTGTAAATCCTAACATATTTTCTTTCCCTGTTAACTGATTTCAGTTTGCATGACTTAAAAATGATTCTGTTTTGCTCCCATCTCTTGTTTAACTGTATTATTACTCTTTTGTTGCTATTTATGTTTGAACTTTAATAATTTTTGAGAAGTTAGGATTTCTTAAATTGAAGGAGACAGGGTGGGTGGGAAATTCTGCTTAGAAAAAGAATATTAAGAGAATAATACAGTTATCATTCAACTATTAACTACAATTGGCAAGCTTTGCTTATAGCCTTATTTTGTTTTTAGACTAGAATTTACTGCTTACTATATAGTTTAAATGTTGGTGTATATAAGTTTTAGTATAAAAAGACATGAAATAAATTATATTTCTATATAAATGTATTTTAAATATTTTCCAGAAAGCTGTAGAAGAACCCCTTAATGGTATGTGGTTATTTCAATCTTGATCCCTTACCAGACCATAATTTGAACTGGCCCGCAAAGCAGATAGAATGCCCCATCTGTGCCTTAGGAAGAATCTAGGGTTTTTCCCCCTTGCCTTGCCCTCTCTTCTCTGAATTTTTCATCAAGAATTATGAGTATTGCTTTTGTAACATTCTCACCTCTGGGAAAATGCACTGTTCTGTGCCTCTCAAGTAGTTAGTCACTTACCCTAGCCAAGTGATACTTGGGCAAGGAGACCATTGCCCTTTGACATTGGCCAAGATGAAGCTTAACACCCCCAGTAGAGAAGAATCTCAGTAACTTCCAATTCCTGATTTGTAAATTTCAGAAAGATACAGGCCATCCCCATGGAGTGAGACCAAATCATCTCACTTTCTCTCTACGTAAATCTAGATCTATATTCCCAACTAAATCTCTTTCCTTTGCGGATGCTTTGGGTATGATCCACAGAAAGGCTTTGTAATAAAATGATAGCCTTAAAATTAATTTGGTTGTATAGTTGAGTAGTTAGCATATTACTGTATATTTGTTTAGAAATGATTTCTAATTGCAGAACCTTACTAACTGCCTGCTTGGCTTGTTACTAATCCTTAGCGTTTAAAGAATCAAAAGGAATGATGAATGATGGTAAGTATGAAATGTACCTACAATTATAGATTAGATAAAATATGGACATTGAAAAATGAAAAAGCTTCTTAAAAGTATGGCTTTCTTTTAGTGAAAGGGAAACTGTCAAATGGTAAAGGTCCACATTTCTTGATGAATAAAACTTCAATCTTCTTTTCTAAAAATTGCAATACTACGACTATAAAAGCTATAGAGTATCACAAGTCGACTCTGATCATATGGCTTCTAGAAAAGAGAAATAACCACTTTTTGTAAAACATTTTTCAGATTCAGTGTCTGTGGACTGTAACTTTAAAATACTTTTTATAAGGCACATAAATAATTTGACATAAATCTTTATCATTTTGACAGAGTTTCTTTTGTGCTTGTTTTGGTGATTTTGTTGCATTTAACCCATGGGGACTTGATATCTGCTTTTCCAAGCAGGAACTTGGTTCTAACCTCTTGGGAGACCATTAAAAAGAGAGAAAGAAAGAGATGTTTAGTCACTCGGCTTTTGCTTCTTTTTTTGGAAATGTGGACTAATAACTTCCAATCTTTATTGAATGTTTCAAAGACATATTTGTTACTTCTTAAAGATAAATAAGTTTGAGATATTGAGTGCTGCAAGTATTCATTTGATTTTACCTTAATATGTTGCGATTCTTGAGGTTCATTGGCATTTAGTAACTATGTGTTTTTATCTTATTGTTAAAAATTTATTTTCACCTTTGGTATTTGCAATCATTCTTTGATCATATAGTTTGCTTTGTAATTTGCTGTTTTAAAGCCTGTGACCTACCTGCTCACCTCTGTAGCCAAGTGCAGCATTTAATACAGGAGGCTATATTCCCCTGAGTGCAATTAATTTTTGCATAAGATTAAAAACACTCCAGTCATGTATTGGTGAACAGGGTTTAAAACATTTAGGCTTGTACTCAACAAGGTGTCACAGAATGATCCCAATTTTATAGATTTGTGTCACAGCCTTTAAAAGCATGGTTTGTTATATGAGCTGCTGCCCTCCTTAAAAAAAAAATGTAGTTAGTAGGAATAAATTAAGAGACATTAAAAAAACAACTGGGACCTGGAATTGAGGTATGGTTGTCCATATTTACATTCTGGTGTCCTGTTTCTTAGTTTTCATGTTCTTTCACTTTCCTGCTGTCATGTCATTGTTCTGCAGTTGTATGAAGAAACTAAACTTTTCTCCATTTTCAGAAAATCAATATAAGAACCCTGAATGCCTCTTCCTTTGTTAATTTCCCTTAAGACATGACTTTTTTTGAATCTGCTGCATCAGGAGATATTATAAAGAAGTTTTGCCTTGAATGTTTGCATGTTCGTAAGACATGAAATCTATGATGAAAATTTGCTTAATTCTGCTAATATTGAGCTGATCAGAATTTGTTTGCTTTTTAAATGTCTGTCTGGTGGGCTTTTCTTACCGACAACTGCCCAGTCCTCACGGTGTGCCTGCCTCGTCAGTGAATGGGTTTCGAGGCATCTTCCCAGGCATCCCAGTCAGTACCGTTTTCTCTTTCACCTACACCTGATCATATTTCAGTTACATGAAATGAATGGTGTAGATCTAAAGTAATGTGATAGAACATGATTCCAGAATCAATGTCTTTTGCTTTGAAAAATCAACATCTCTTAGCTTTTCCTCAGCTAACCCAGCAAACGGGGGTTATCAGACTGTGTTGATTTTTATTTTCATTTGGCATTGGCCTTTTTCTTACCGAAAGTACTGCCTGGTTTATGTAACTCTGACCTTTGAAGATCTATGTTCTTGATTTTTAGATGTTGTATATCTGAAACAAATTTTTAAATGCATCAACTTCTTAATGGATAGAAAATAGATGTGAATAGTGATTGTCCATTTTTCAATTTTCCAGAATAACTGAAGTGAAGTGATGGACTGTGATGTGGAGAGTAGTAAGACGTGAAAGGAATACACTTGTGTTTAAGCACCATGGCCTTGATTCACTGTTGGGGAGAAGAAACCAAGAAAAGTAACTGGTTGTCATTGTGGGGGAAAATAAGTCATTGACCCTCAAATGATTGTTACAGTTAAGTTTTTATTCAAAGCAGCTGTAATTTAGTTAATAAAAGAATTACGATGTGCTGTGTGCCCAACTGAGATCCAGTTTTTTTGTTATTTTTATTCAATTAGGGGCAAAAGTAGAATGGGCAGCTTCCAAGAATGATGCCTTTTAGATCCTAGGACCTCTTGACTCTAGGTCACTACAGTTAAAGTTAGTTCAGGGTGAGAATCACGTAGCACTAACCTGGTGGTTACCCAGAGAAATCAATGAAAAACAGTGGCTTCCATCAAACCTTAGCAAACTCAGGTTCACAACAGCATTGGCAGTTACGATATTAGCTGAATAATGTGTCTGCCACTTCAGGGTCAATGGAAGAATGAATTAAGTACAGACAGGAATTTGATTGGGAACATCTTGTATGCCACCCACGTGTGATGTGATATTGCTAGAGATAGTGGTCTTCATTCTTGGGGGTTGCCATTCACACGTTCCCGTTCAAGATACAGTGTAACAAATCCTTTGCAGATTTAGGGTATTTTGATTGATGGATTTGTTTTTCTTTTATTCACACAACTCTTGAAATCCTGTCTTGTCCTCCTGTTATTTGCTTCTGCTGTACAAGATGTAGCACCTTTTCTCCTCTTTGAACATGGTCCAGTGACACCGCAACATGCAGGAAGGAGCCAGACTTGTTCTCAGAGCACTATGTTCACACTTTTCAGCAAAAATAGCTATGGTTGTAACATATGTATTCCCTTCCTCTGATTTGAAGGCAAAAATCTATAGTGTTTCTTCACTTCTTTTCTGATCCGAGGCATGAAAAACCAAGATTGAAATTTGAACTATGAGTCTCCTGCATGGCAACAAAATGTGTGTCACCATCAGGCCACCAGGCCAGCCCTTGAAAGGGTGGTTTTATTACTGTTGTATTCTGTGTTGCATGATAAACACTCATCTCCTTCCTCCTGTAGTCCTGCCTCGTACTCCCCTTCCCCTAAGATTGAGAAGTAAAACAAAACCCACATTTCCTATCCCAGTTAGAAGAAAATTAACGTTCTGACAGTTGTGATCGCCTTGAGTACTTTTAGACTTTTAGCACTTGTTTTTTACCTCTTCGTGGGTGTGTGTTTGTATGTGCATATGTATAAGATAGGCACATGCATCTTCTATATGGACAAAAGTGGGCTACCTACAGTGCAGGAGCGCAAAGGTTAATTTTGTGCTTTTAGTAAAAACATTTAAAAACAAAGATCTTTATTGGGTGAAATTATATTTGATGCAAATGTTTGATCACTTAAAACTTTAAAAACTTCTAGGTAATTTGCCATGCTTTTTGACTGCTCACCAATGCCCTCTAAGAATACATAATTCTTCCTGTTTGTGTAATAAGACATCCATATTTGTAGTTGCATTAATAGTTATTTCTTAGTCCACTGAATGTTCCCATGTGCCTCTTTTATGCCAAATTGTCGTATTTCATGTTGGGACCAAGTGGTTTGCCCATGGCAAACCTAAATTTATGACCTGCTGAGGCCTCTCAGAAAACGGAATACACTAGCAAGACAGCTCTTCTTGAAGATGAAATATATATATTTTCTTCCCTGATTGTGTATCTGTTCAAGATACTAGCATGTGTAGAGGGAGCTGTATTCCTTTATACAAATCTGATGGCTCCTGCTGATCTTTTTCCTTCTGAAAATATTTACATTTTGCTAATATAGTTTGTTACTTTAGAAATCAGTTTTGATGAAAGGAGGAAAAAAGCAGATGGACTTGAAAAAGATCCAAATTCCTATTCTCTATTAAGAAAGCCAAGTACAAAAATCTTTATAGTAAAATTTTTTATAAAATGGTACCTTTTAATATGTCACAAACTCATTTATTTGGGGTTCGATCTTGGGTCTCATCCATTCGTTGTGCTCTCTTTAATGCTGCCTACCTTTGAGGCATTCACTGCCCTAGACGATGCCACCAGAGGTAGCAGGGGAAATGCCCTTCCTGGTTGTCAGCGTCTCTGGATAAGGGACCACAGCTGCAGGAGTCCTCTTGCTTGGGCACCATTGGGCCAGTTCCTTCTCTTTAAATCAGACTCGTAATGGCTCCCAATCTCTGTCACATCAGATTTAAATTGCTAACTACATATATAGCTAACAATGTTTTTGAGCATTATGTATCTGTTTTGCTTCATAATATGCTCCCTGATCCCAATTTTTGCTGTCAACCCCTCCATTTTTATTTATTGTATGTTCTCAGAGTGACATCATTTATTATTTTCTGCAACAACCTTTCCAGGCTTTTTGGCAAAATCAAATTTTTCTTCTTCAAAACATTCTACTCCAGCCCTGCCTGCCCCCCACCCCACTGCTTTGCAGTCTGTCCCCATCTGTCTAGCTGCCTCTTTCATCTCTTTCTTACCTTCCTGGTACTTTATGCATCTGTCCTTAGTTCTGTTGGCTTTTTATGTCTTGCCCCTTTCACTTGATTTTAAAGTTCCTTCTATATAGCAAGAGCCTTTCTTTCCTCCTTTCTCTCTTCCTGCAGTGTTTTGCATACATTAGAAGCTCAATACATAAGATAGATGATTGAGAGTTTTCTGCATTTAGATTTTTCACTATTTTTAATAGGGTGAGCTAGAGAGGTTTTTTGTTTTTTGTTTTTTTGACAAATTTCACATGTTCTAAAAACCTTAAAAGGTGATGATTCTTCACGTGGAAACTCCAGGTTCATTATGTTTAAAGTCCTGAGAATGTCAGAATTAAAATGATGGGGCCACCCCATAGTTGGGAGTATTGTTCTTTTCAGGATGCTGTAGTCAATTTAGTAAGTGACCAATCAAACTAGGATTTGAATTAATAAAGCTCAAAAAGTGATAAGCTTGTTCCTCCATGTCATTAATAAAAATTAAGCTCTATATCACCTTGTAGATTTCTCTTGTCTTAAAAATGGGTATTCAAAAATGTAGGTCTGCAGTGTATGTATGGAAATACCCTTTTATCTACCTGTTATTGAAAACTGGAGAAATGATTGTCCGGCAACCCTTTATCTTTCTATTGCGTTTTATTTGATTGAGGGTTTTTTTAGAAACAGTTTTACGTGTGTCATATTTTCAAAATTACTAACTGCCATCACCCACTGGAGGTCCTTTGTTAAGTCATTGTCAGTGGCTAATAGGGATAAGCCAGGTAACTTTGAAGAGATGAGCAGTAAGCAACGAGAAAGTTTTTCTGCCTTTAGCTCTGGCAGCTCTTAATTATGATCATTTAAGACCAGCTTTTCCATAAATTTAGCCTTTTGAAAAAAAGAAACCATTTGTAAAAAGCTTTTCTGTAAGACAACATCAGTGGAATCTTAAAAGTGTTGTTATCATGGTTGGCGAGAGAGGAAAACATTTTTGTTTTTATCAAACGGAGCATTATTTACAAAAAAGCCATTGTTGAGAATTAGATCCCACATTGTATAAATATCCATTAACCATTCTAAATAAAGAGAACTCCAGTGTTGCTATGTGCAAGATCCTCACTTGGGGGCTTTTTTGCATAGCAATTAAAGGTGTGCTATTTGTCAGTAGCCATTTTTTTGCAGTGATTTAAAGACCAAAGTTGTTTTACAGCTGTGTTACCGTTAAAGGTTTTTTTTTTTATATGTATTAAATCAATTTATCACTGTTTGAAGCTTTGAATATCTGCAATCTTTGCCAAGATACTTTTTTATTTAAAAAAACATAACTTTGTAAATAGTACACTGTAATATTATATATACTTAATAAAACATTTTAAGCTATTTTGTTGGGCTATTTCTATTGCTGCTATAGCACATCATAGGCACATTTCTGAGAAATTTAGTTTATTAATGTTTTTTTCAAGTTGTTCATAGTCTAGGTAACCATGTAAAGAATGACTTAAAATATTTATTATAAGTTCTTTTTTTAAAGTATAATACCCAAGAAATAAACTTTTAATTAGAACAAAGTTTTAATTAAAAGTTTTAAACAAGTCCAATAATTATTTCATAATTTTTTTAATCAATTTTTTCCATAGTATAGTGAAAACATCAAATGAGAAAACAGGAGACCTGGGTTCTGATCCTGGCTACACTACTAAGTAGCAGAAGACCTGGGCAAGCCACTTACCTATGTCTTAGTGTCCATCTTTATCTGTACATTCAGATAAGCCTCATCCAAGACTGAAATGTATGGTTCTCCATTTTAATTGGTTATCAATTAGGACTATTTTGATTGCAAGTAAAAAAAACCTAAGTCTAAGAAAAATAGGATCTCTTGGCTAATGTAACCTGAAAATTCAGGTATACAACTAGAGTCTGGACCTCCAAAAGAGTCCTAAGGACACCAAGTCATAAGAAATTGGGTCTTACCAGCTCCCAGCTTTGCTCTCCCTGGTGTGACCTTCCTTCCCAGGTTTCCTGTGATGGCAGATATCTGACTGCAGTCCCAAGCCCACCTTCTCCCAGGTTCAGGGAGAGTAAAGGGCTAAAGGAGAGTGCATGTCCCCTTCTCAATAGTCCTGTCCACCCCAAATTGCACCTCAGTGCTCTGTTTCACATGCCGTGCCTCTTTCATTCATCCAGGCCAAGCATTTCTGGCACTCTGATTGGGCCGGCCTGACTCCCATATCTAGACTGGAGTGGAGGTTTTGGGCTCTATCTGCAACACATAAACCTAGCTGAGGTCGGGGAACAGAGGGCAAGTTAACCTTAAGCAGAATCCACTGGTCATTTCCAGATGATGAGATGTCATTAGATTTTGAGCACAGGATTCCTTCAGGTCTGTACTCTATGATTCTGCATTATATGTGTGATTGTAGACCATTTGAATGGAAAATAGTATTTGGCAGCAAAGTGCCATCACATTCCTTACCTCTTACACAATTTAAATTTTATGCATTTATAAGAACTTTTACCCTCTCAGCAGGAGTAACTAATGGAGTTCAGAAAGCATTTAACGGCCTTCCTCCTGCACTGAAAGCTGCTCTGTGTAGCACAGAACTGTACTCAACCTGATTGAGCTCCCACGGAGGTGTAGGCTTCCAAATGCAACTGGATTTCATGTTTGTGTAGCACCTTTCCACCTCAAGGCCTCAGGTTTGACAGCTTTAGAAAATAATGGATTATGATAACACCATCCAGGTAGGACATGATTTTGCCAGTAGCTCAGAAATTTAAGCACAATTGACAGTGTTTGGTGTTAGAAGTGAGGCTGTATGCCAGAACTCACATCCAGTCTTTTTTTTTTTGTAAGCTTCATACTCAAGTACCCATCTACCACATCAGAGGGAAATGAAGTATTTAACCCTAAATTGTGGATAACTGGACTGAAGACAACATTACAGGCTATATAGAAGTGATAGTGGCCTTAATAACTGATAATATTAACTAATAGTGGATTAAAACTCTACTAATTTAGCAATTATTTATTTAGTCATTTGACTAGAAGGCAGCAACTTTTCAGCTCTGATGATAGCCAGTTGTGAAAGATCAGGTATCTTTTCCCAATTTGGATGATGAGAAATTCTTGGTAAGGAGTCCAGTTTGGAGAGAAACGATTTGTAATTCTAAAGACTGCAATCCTGTGAGCTATGATCCTACCATTGCAATCCAGCCTAAGCGACAGAGCAAGACCTCATCTCCAAAAATAAAAAATAAAAAAAAATAAAGACTGCAATCTGATGTCGGTCTTGATGCCAGATAGCATGCTAGTTTTACAGATTTGCAAAATTGATGCTATTGCTATCTTCATGGTCAGATATTGTAACACCACGTGCCGGGGCTAGGCTTTCTGGGAGCCTTTACTTAAAATAATCCTATTTGATCATAGACCTGCCTTCCAAAAATAAACAAAACAAAACTGTAGTTTTGCTTTCAAATTCTGAGTTGCCTGAGAAATTCCTCAAGGTTAAACTGACAACCTGCCATACGCTGTTAGACTTTCTAAACAAATGGATTGTTTGAAAAGTTTAAGTGTATTGTTTAGAACATGGAATATATTTTTCATGGAGCTCTCTACTTATTTTTTTACTCATTTTTACTAAAAAGAATGCTGTAGCGAAGCTGCCCTCTGGGTAAAGTGAACTCTTGTGTCCGTGCCGGTCATCATGTATGTCACAGATTCTGTGGGGAGCTCTGTCTCTGGCATGCCCAGGGCAACTGGAAAGTACTGGAACTTTTGCTATCCCGCTGTTCCGGCCGCATGATGGCTCGCCTCCAGCCCCTGCCTCCCGGCAGCTTGCTCTAGGAATGCCTCTCGTTCCCTGGGGAGTTTCCATCCCCAGCTCAAACAGACGTTTTTTAGAATGTGATGTTCATAAGCCTCACACCTCACTTGTGCAAGGTACATATATTTGGTTACCTGAAGAAACCTTTCTTTATTAATGTTATCAAATGTTCTCGCAATTGAATTGGTTAGATTTCTCTTCTGGATTTTTTATTTTGATTATCATGGATTCAGTAGAGCGCATGTCTGTACGTATCTTTAGCTATATGCCTAGCTATCAGTGGAAATCTTTCTGGTGGCAACTATTACCACATGGAACAGAAAAGATTACCCTGGATCCTATGCAGGAAT